ACCTACTACACAAGGAAACCTAATATACAAGGTAACCTAATAAATAAGAATAATAGTAGGAATAATATATATAATATAGATAGATATGTAGATACGCTAATACACCCCCGCAGTCGAAACGGGAAAGGAGAGGACGTGGAGACTGGAGACAAACTGTTGGAACAGTTGAGTAGGGAGTCCTTTCGTGAAGATATCGGCAAACTGGTAGGCGGATGGGACGTGAAGGACTCGAACGTGTCCCAAAGCAACTTTGTCTCGGACAAAATGGATATCGATCTCCACATGTTTCGTACGAGAGTGTTGAATAGGATTGCTCGATAGGTAGACGGCACTGACGTTGTCACAGTAGACAATAGTGGCTTTCGAAAGCGGGCAGAGCAACTCAGAAAGTAGGTTGCGTAACCAAGTCGTTTCGGCGACGGCATTTGCGACAGCTCTGTATTCGGCCTCCGCACTCGACCGGGAGGTAGTGACCTGTCGTTTGGAGGACCACGAGATGAGGTTATTGCCTAGGAAAACACAATAGCCCAATGTCGAACGACGAGTGTCAGGGCAGCCACCCCAATCGGCGTCGGAGTAAGCGATAAGGGAGAGGTCCGGATTGGGGGAGAGCTGAAGGCCGTGATCGAGAGTCCCACGAATGTAGCGAAGGATACGCTTGAGAGCAGCCATATGAGGTTCCCTCGGATCATGCATGAATAGACATATTTGTTGCACAGCATAGCAGATGTCGGGACGAGTAAACGTGAGGTATTGCAGTGCACCGGCAAGGCTGCGATAAAGAGTAGGGTCAGCAACGGGGGGTCCAGTGGTCGAAGACAACTTGCTCTTTGTGTCAGCCGGCGTAAGACAAGGGTTGCAGGAAGCCATGTGTGCACGCTCTAGGATCTCGTCGGCGTACTTGCGTTGAGAGAGAAATAGCCCATTCGACGAGCGAGTGACTGAGATGCCGAGAAAGTAGTGAAGATCGCCAAGATCCTTCATTGCGAACTCTTGATTTAGGGCAACGATGATAGAGCGGAGCAATTCTGGTGTGGAGGCCGTAAGTACAATGTCATCGACATACAACAGAAGGTAGGCGCATGAACTGTTGCGACAGTCGCGTGAACTGCTGCGACAGTCGCGTGAACTGTTACGACAGTACACAAAGAGTGAAGTGTCGGACTTGCATTCTCTGAACCCCATGGTAGTAATGTGAGATGCAAAACGCTTGTACCAAGCACGTGGTGCCTGCTTGAGGCCGTAGAGTGCTTTGTTGAGACGACACACGTGAGTGGGGCGAGATGGATCGACGAATCCGGGAGGTTGCTCGCAGTAGACAGTTTCAGAGAGATTGCCATGTAAGAAGGCATTTTTCACGTCAAGCTGGTGGATTGGCCATGATCGCGAGAGAGCAATACTGAGGACTGTTCGAACAGTGGCTGGTTTGACAACTGGGCTGAAAGTCTCGTCAAAGTCGATGCCAGCCTGCTGGTGAAACCCACGAACAACCCACCGTGCTTTATATCGCTCAAGGGAGCCATCAGACTTGAGTTTCTGTTTGTATATCCACTTACCAGAAATAACATTAGTAGACGGGGGGCGGGGCACAACATTCCAAGTATTGTTTTTAATTAAAGCAGTATATTCCTCAATCATGGCGTTTCGCCAATTTTGGTCAAGAAGAGCTTGGCGATAGTTGGTGGGAATGGGAGAAGTAGAGGATGCAACGAGAGAGAAAGGGACTTTGGGTTTGTGGATGCCCACTTTACTGCGAGTCACCATAGGATGAGCAAGGGGAGGTGGGGGAGGTGGGGGAGTAGGAGAAGGAGTTGTGAGCTGGTTGTGGTCGACAGGTGGTGCTGCAGGAGAAATAGGTGTTGGCTGTGTTATAGGACTGTTGGACGGACTGTTGGAACAGGATGGTTCACTATTGGAACAGTTGGAGGAACTGTTGCAACAGTTAGACGAAGTCTGAGGGAGGAGGAACAAGGAGGGTGTGTTTTCGTCCAAGGCAGAAGGGGGAAGTGTGTTTTTGGGGGGAGTGGACTCAGCAAAAGGAAAGTTAGTTTCGTCGAAGATAACATGACGAGAAATTATGATTCGGCCAGTGGACCTATCAAGGCAACGATAGCCTTTGTGAGAGGAAGGGTGACCGAGATATACACAAGGAGTAGAACGGGGGGCGAGTTTATGTGGTGTGGTGGCGGTGAGGTTGGGATAACAGAGACAGCCGAATACTCGAAGATGAGAGTATGTAGTTTTGATGAGGTAAAGGGCTTCGTGAGGAGTCCGGTTTTGTGTGGTTTTGGTAGGTAAGATATTGAGTAGGTGTGTGGCCATATGAAGGGCTTCGACCCAATAAGTAGGAGGAAGATGGGCTTGAAAGATGAGGGATCGAATCATGTTAGTTATAGTGCGGATCATTCGTTCTGCGTGTCCGTTTTGAGGGGAGGTGTGGGGACACGAAAAACGATTTAGGATGCCGTGTTTAGTGAAGTAGTTTTGAAAATCCGCATTTTTGAATTCACGACCATTATCACTTTGTAAGGCTTTCAGGGGATGTTGGAATTGAGTTTTGAGAAGTGTATGAAAATTGACAAAGGTTGTAAAAACATCAGATTTATTTCGAAGGAGAAAAGTCCATAAATAATGGGTAAAATCATCAACTAACACAAGATAATATTTGAAACCCGTAAAACTAGAAACATGAGAAGTCCATAAATCAGCATGAATAATTTGAAATGGAGCAACAGTAGTAGATTTTTGATAAAAAAATGGTAGACGAAAATGCTTGCCTAATTGACAGGCATTACAAAGAGACTCCCTAGGGTCTTTATTATGGGAAAGAGAAGTGCTAGAAAATAAACGAGACATGACGTGTTTGCCGGGATGGCCTAGACGCCGATGCCAAAGAGTGCGAGATGAAGGTGTTGTGACAGTGAGGAAAGCAGCAGGAGGTGAGGTGGGGGGAGGGACGCTAAACGGATATAGGTCACCGGAGCTATTGCACCTGAAAATCTCGACTCGACTCCGAAGATCCTTCACAGAAAAACCAAAAGGATCAAACTAAACCGAACATGAGTTATCACGGGTGAACTTTCTAACAGATATAAGGTGTTTGACGATATTGGGTGTGACATAGACATTTGTGAGGCAGAAAGGAGTGGTGGGAAGAATTGTGTGGCCTATGTGGGTTATGGGGAGGGTGGAACCATTACCGACGACGACATGTTTGGGGAATTTACTGCCAGGATTAAAAACAAAATTGAAATTACCTGAGTGTGGTGCCATATGAGAGGTCGCCCCGCTGTCCATGAACCACTGTGACTCGGTAGGCTGCTGAAGTGTCACCGTATTCAAACGGTTCGCGAGATCCGCCACGCTGGCACTGTTGCAGGAACTGTTGCAACTGTTGATGGAACTGCTGGAGCTGTGGCACGGTTGCTGCTGCGGATGAGCCTAAGTAGGAGCCGAGTGACCGGTGTAGGGTTCAGGTGGCCCAGTAAAGTAGGCTTGGGCCGCTGGGTGGCCCGATGTATTTTGAGCGGATCCCAGAATTGACTGTTGTCGGTAAGGTGCGCGCCAAAGTAGAGATGCGCGATGAGCACTATGATAGCCGTAGTGCTGCATGGGGTGACGGTTAGTGTTGCGACCTCCGCGACGGTTGGATCGGCCACCCCCGCGCTGATAGCGCGAAGAACTACCTCCGCGGGAACTGTTGCAGGAACTGTTGCAACTGTTGGATGGACAGTTCGCGTTGGAGGCGTAGAGAACAGCAGCGGTCTGCTCCGGTTCAGAAATTCTTGTTTCTTCCATCTGAAGGAGCGAACGAGTCTGTAGAAAGGTGGGAAGGGGATTTTGAAAGGAGATGAGATTGGCGACGGTCCCGTAGTTTTTCGGAAGGCCGTGTAGGGTGTGTAGAACGAGTTGTTTGTCGGAGATTGGATTTCCGACATCGGCCAAGCTGTCCGCCGTGGTTTTGATTATTTGACAGTAATCGTGAATGGAGAGAGCGCCTTTCTTGAGGGACTTGACTTTTTCTTCAAGTTGAATGGCTCGATAGTCTTTGTTATCGGTGAAGAGAGAAGAGATGGCGATCCATAGATCACTGGCGGAGGAGGTTTTTGAGAGAACCATGCTGGATAGATCGTCGGAGATGGTGCCGTAGATCCAAGATTGGAGGAGATAGTCGGCTCGCTGCCATTCGTCGGCGGAAATCGAATCCGGTCGGGGTTTGCCATGGAGAAGATCGGAGAGGCAGAAACGACCAACGGTAATCGTGAAAAAGTGGCTCCACTTTTGATAATTAGGATTTTTTAGATCTAGAGTAACGGGGATAAGAGATTTGATATTAGAGATGGCATGAGCAAGGTGAAAAGGATTGAGAGAGGCGGTGGAGGGAGAAGAAGATGAAGATTCGCCGGCCATGGAGAAGAAGGGGGTAGGGCACGGCTATGCAGAAAAAAAAGAAAAAAGAAAAAAAACGGCTAGGTTAACCTAGTGTCTGATACCATATAGGAGAAATATATTTGGAGAAAAGAGAGAGAATGATATCTCTTACGTATATTAGTCATATATATAGTTACATGTAGGAAACCCTAACCTACTACACAAGGAGACCTAATATACAAGGTAACCTAATAAATAAGAATAATAGTAGGAATAATATATATAATATAGATAGATATGTAGATACGCTAATAAAAATTCTTCTATTCTCTCTTCTTCTCTTCCGTTTCGCACCGGTCAAATATGCAGTGGCAGTTTCCGATCAAACCAGCACCCAGAGACCTCCATCAACCATCACAAAAGGCGTCAACATAACAAAGCCAGGCTGCAAAAGCAAGTGTGGGAATTTAACTGTTCCATATCCATTTGGCATAGGCTCAAATTGTTCAATACACCCTTCATTTGATATCTACTGCGATAATTCTTACAATCCTCCAAAGCCCTTCAGTGGAATATTGGAAATTGAAGTTACTGATATAACAGATTCACAAATAAGGATCAAGAACCAGATGGCTGCCACCTGTTACAACAAAATCGGTAACGTGACTCGGAAAAACCTAGTCGAAGACACCCAGATAGATCAACCTTTTAGCATATCTGATGCAAACAAGTTCACAGTTGTCGGATGTGATGATATTGCCCTACTATTCGGGCTTGGCGGTGCTAATTCGACCAATGGGTGCGTTTCCACTTGTTCTTCAAGAGAGCAAGTTCTTGATGGTTATTGCAATGGTACTGGTTGTTGCCAGACCTCAATACAAAAGGGCCTAACAAGACTTTCTGCCTCCCTAGACAGCATTCATAAACACATTAATGTGTGGTCCTTTAGCCGTTGTGGTTATGCCTTTCTTGCAGAGCAGGATACCTTTACATTTCATTCATCTGACCTTGATGACGTCACTTTTCAAGAACGAATCATTGAGAATGTCCCAATCGTTCTCGATTGGGTGATTCGGAATGAAACATGTGATGAAGCTCGAAAATTCGATGATTTTGCATGTCACAAGAACAGTACATGCGTCGACTCCACCACCGGTGTTAATGGATATAACTGCATATGTTTTCAGGGATATGAGGGCAATCCGTATCTAGAACCAGGCTGCACAGGTTAGTTTTCTTTTGGCTTTTTACACCACACCTACGATATTATGCCAGTTAGAAATTATTTATATGTTTTGATGTTTTGAGAAGCGGATTATTACGATGTTCATTTTCTGAATTTCAGACACAAACGAATGTGAGAATAGTCCATGTGTATCAAATGCCATATGCACTAATTCTCTTGGTAGCTATAATTGTTCGTGTCCTCGTGGCTTCACGGGTGATGGCACCAAAGCTGGCATTGGCTGCACTAAAAATAAATGGCACCTCTCAACTCTCACGTTGTCATTAGGTACCCATGATTGATAAACTTCAATTCAATGTCTTTATTCTTTCCTTTCAATTCTGTTGGATGACGATAATGATCAAATATTAGGATTTCAAAATATGAATTTTCAGGTATCGGTTTAGGCTTCATGGCTGTGATAATTGTTATTACTTGGATATATTTTACCATCAAGAAGAGGAAACTCATGAAACTACGAGAGAAATTCTTTCACCAAAATGGTGGATTTTTATTGAAGCAGCAATTATCATCAAACGAGGGTAATATGCAATCAACTAAAGTATATTTTCTGCTCAAGAGCTTGAGAAGGCTACCAACAATTATTCCGAGGATCGAATACTAGGTCGAGGTGGTTATGGGACAGTTTACAAAGGGATACTAAGTGAGCAACATGTTGTTGCAATCAAGAAATCTATAAAACTGGATGAGAGTCAAGTAGAGATATTCATAAATGAGATGGTTATTCTGACTCAGGTTAACCACAGAAATGTGGTGAAACTAATGGGGTGTTGTTTGGAGACCGAAGTACCTTTGTTAGTGTATGAATACGTCTCAAAAAATACACTATATTACCATATCCACAACAGTGGAGGAATGCCATGGTTTTCTTGGGAAAATCGGCTGAGGATTGCCGTAGAGGCGGCCGGTGCACTTGCCTATCTTCATTCTTCAGCAGGAATGCCGATTATCCACAGAGATGTTAAATCTCCCAATATATTATTGGATGAGTGTTACAATGCAAAAATAGCAGATTTTGGAGCTTCAAGACTGATTCAAATTGATCGAACACGAGTGACGACTCATGTACAGGGAACTTTTGGTTATCTTGATCCTGAGTATTTCCGTACAAGTCAACTGACTGAGAAAAGTGATGTATATAGCTTTGGGGTGGTGTTGGCTGAGCTTCTGACAGGTAGAAAACCTGTGTGTACTGAAAAGAGTGAAGAAGAAATTAATCTGGCTACTTACTTTGTAGAGTGCGTGAAGGAAAATCGGTTGTTCCAAATTATTGAGCCTCGAATTATGAGGGAAGGGAGTTTGGAGCAAATCAGTTCAATGGGTGATGTTGTTAAGAGATGTCTCGAGATGAAAGGGGAAGAAAGGCCAACTATGAAAGAAGTGACAATGGAGTTAGAGAGGTTGAGAAAGTATAATATTCAGTCCCACAAACAAGAAGAAAAAATCCCTGATGGAAACATTGGTGAGCAGCAACCTGATCTATATCCAGTTCCACCGAATCCTGATTTTAGATCTGGGCAGTACGTTATGGAGAGTCAGTTGTTCCATGCAATCAATAGCCCTCGCTAATCAGAAAAACAAAGAGGTTATTCGTGCACTATGGTATTTCCTATGAGGCTCTTTCTTAATTCATGTTTTTCCTATATTACTCTTCTAGTAGATATAATTTGCCTGTTAGCAACTTGGATACCCATAGGTTGGGAAACAATCATTTTTCTTTTGATGATTATAATTTGCCTGTTAGCAACTTGCATACCCAAAGGTTGAAAAACCAATATTGTATATGGCACACTCTCTTGTTGTATTGAGCACTTGAATTTGTTGGTTGTATCAAACTCTGATGATTATTTTTAGTATCTTGCTTTTGTTGTAAGAATTTAAAGTTACTGGTAATGTTGGTCTAGATCATCAGGGGTTTATGACAAGACTTTTCAGCAGTATAAGTCCATGTATATTATCTTAAGCATCAAGATCATCAGGGGTTTACTGGTAATGTATAGTTTCAGCAGTTTGTCTTCCCCAAATTTCCTTAAAACCCTTAAACTTCAGTGGATTTATAAAAGCATGAAAGCGTGTTATGCAGCACAGGTTGAGGCATTTTAATCTTTATATATGACGCATACGACAGCAGGAAAGAAAAGGCATCCGTTCATACCATATACCTTCATAGAACAACAACGCTCATATTCTAATGCTGAATCATATATTGACTGAACAAATGATTATTTATAGGTCATCTAAAGTTACGGGAAAGGAAGTGTTAATTGGTTGCTGGACTGTTTACGAGTAGAAAGAGGAAGTGAAGTAAGTGTTGGTGATGATGAAAAGGGTAGTTATTTATAGATACACGGAAGGATGACTAATGGTAGTTGATCTTGTCTTGTGATATCTTTCATTGGATTTTCAAGATTCCATGCATTTGTCCACTCTGGCCAAATGGAAAATTATAGTCTGTCTCTTCAGATTTTTTTTACTCTCAAGTAGGGGAAAAAATCTATAAATATATCTTGAGTAGGGATGGGGATCATAGTTTCGGCAATAAAAATCTTGGCTGAGATTTCCATTGAACAATCTCTAACGGCAACATTTGGACTTATACATTACAGGTAGGGGTGGAAATCGGGACCAATATTCCGATTTCCGCCGATTCCGATCCGAATATTTCCGATTTTGGAACAATTTTTTGTGGTCCGATTTCCAAAATTCCGATTTCTGAATTTTCCGAAAAAAATCGGATCGGAATCGGAATTCTATATAAAATTTTCGGAATTTCCGAATTCCGATCCGAAAATAATTCCAAAATATTCCGATATTTTCCAATTTTTTTCCGATTTTTTTATACATAAATAAATTATGTATCATACATATTATCATACCAAAACTAAGCCACCTCTTTGGGCTGGCCCATAATATTATTTGTGTTACAAATATTAAAAGTTTAATTTATTGGCCCATCAAAAAACCTACAGACTACCCCATTCCGACCTAATCTTTGACTTCCTCCTAATCACTTTTCTACTACTTCTTGGCCGCGGAGCTGTGCTTATTCGAAAGTTGTATCTTCTTCTCCAAAGTTCAGCTCCATTGCAGAGGGCGACGCTCGTTTCTTCGAGCACCCAGAAGGTAAAGGGGTGTTGGCCAGTAAGCTACTCGCCGAGCTGGTCGATCTACAAATAATAACCATTTCTATTTTTGTAACCTCAAATATTGTGTTATTTTAGAAATTATTTTGGTAGAATATGCCCACTGATAGGAGGGGAATATAAATTCTTGAATTTTTTCATTGTGTGAGAGACTTATCGTCGATTGTTGTTCGATTTTGGTGTTTCCGATTATTTTTTCTTGTTCTTAAAAGATTTTTTTTTGGAATTCCGAAAAATTCCGAAATTCCGAAATTTCCGATTATATCGGAATCGGAATTGAATTTTTGATTCAGAAAATTTCGAAATCGGAATCGGAAATGATATTTGAGTTCCAAAAAAAAATCGGAAATTTTCCGAAACGCCCATTTCCGATCTGATCCGTCCGATTTCCACCCCTACTTACAGGTAATGAGCAAAGACAAAAGAAAAGTCTAAATTATTCATAGAAAAAGAAAAGGCAACAAATTAGGGTAAAGTAAAAAATGTGCCTAATTAGGGTAAAGTCCAAAACCACAAGGGAGTTATGTGCCTAATTTCATACCATAAGATATGTCAAAAATGTCCAAATCACAAGGGGGTTAAGTGCTATTTACCCAACAAATTACTACAAGCATATATAAATTAGAAAAATCTCCTTTTATTTGAAAATTTAAATTTTCCTCCTTTTATTTGAAAATTTAAATTTACCCCTAAAACTAATAATGTTTAACGAACTTTAATGGAAATTATGAAATATCATTTTTGTCCCTGGAAAGAAGAAAATTGCTAAAATACCTCAACATTGAAACGGTTGTCTTGCCCTTATATTATTTCTAAAAGAAGTAACGAGATGTTTCCCTCAATGAACGAGTTCTTAAAAATAGGGCAAATGACAAATAGGCCCATGACAAGGGCACTTAATTAAAAGAGGAGTTCTTAAAAATAGGGCAAATGGCAAATAGGCCCATGACAAGGGCACTTAATTAAAAGAGACACATCCAACTTTTTTGTCTTTCAAATAAATCCAGCACATTCAAACTTATTTGCAAACAAGGAAAATCCCTTTATATATACCAAAATTACCCCAATTCATTGAAACCCAATTCAACTCCAATTTCATGATTTACACCCCAATTTAACCTAATTTCATCAATTAACCAATTTTAACCCTAATTTCAATTTTGACCTGCCACCACCGGAGACCGCCGGTCGCCGCCGTTGAACGGCGTTGACTTTTTTTTTTTTTTTTTTTTAAAACTTTTTTTCCCCAGAATTTTTTTTCCGGCCGGTCAACTGCCGTTGACCGCGGTCTCCGAAGTTGACTTTTTTTTTTATAATTTTGTTTTTTCTTAAAAAAAATATTTTAATTAATATTACTGTCATGGCTGCTAAATTACTGTTTCCGGCAGTTATTTATCTGTCGGAGACAGTAATTTAACTGTAAATGGACTTTTTTTTTTCTTCAAAAATATTTTAATTAATATTATTAACTGTCGGAGACATTAATTTAACTGTTAATTGCCTTATATACTTAAAAAAAATTATAATTAATATTACTTTATTCGTTGCTAAATTACTGTCTCCAGCAGTTATTTAACTGTCGGAGACAGTAATTTAACTGTTAATTGACTTTTTTTTTTTTTTTTTTTTCTTAAAAAAAATTATTTTAATTAATATTACTGCCTTGGCTGCTAAATTACTGTATCCAACAGCAATTTAACTGTCTTAGACAATAATATTAATAATATTACTGTTCGGAAAAATAATATTCATAATATTACTGTCCCAAACAGTAATATTACTGTCTGAGACAGTAATTTAGTAGTCAAGATAGTAATATTAATTAAAATATATTTTTTCTAAGAAAAAAAAATTCAAAAAATAAAAAAAAAGTCAACGCCGGAAACCGGCGGTCAACAGTGGTTGACCGGCCGGAAAAAAAATTCAGAAAAAAAAAAGTTTTCAAAAAAAAAAAAAAAAAGTCAACACCGGAGACCGGCGGTCAACGCCGGAATCTGGCCGGAAAAAAAAAACATTCAGAAAAATAATTATTTTCTGAAAAAAAAAATTTGGGGGGTTAATGTGATATATTTGTTTAAATTTGGGGTCAATGTGTAATATTAAGGAACTTAGAGCATAATGGGTGGAATTGATAAGAA